CTGCCAGCCTGCAGTCTGTGCCCGCACGCTCTCCAGCCGCCTTTTCCCTGTCGTTGCAGGGTGGAGCACGCGCGGATGCATGCCAAGCACCGGGGTCACGAGGCCATGCATGCTGAAATGGTCCTCATCCTTATCGCCACGCTCGTGGTGGCCCAGCTCCTGCTGGTGCAGTGGAAGCAGCGGCACCCTCGCTCCTACAACGTAAGTGTCTCCGCGCGGCCGGTCTGGCTCCGAGGCGGGATGTGAGTGCCAGGTGGTGCCACCCTGTAGCTGCTGAGAAGCACGTTCCTGTTTTTCTCCTCTTGGCTGCTGTTGAGATCCCCTCATCTCCCCAGCAGCGTGCGGGGGTTCTAGCTGGGGATGAGGATGGATGCTCCTGGAGGCACCGAGTTCCAGTTCTCAGGCGTGCTGGTAACTGGGTTTGGCACAGTGCTGCGACGCCCAGTGAGGGGACAAGCAGATCCCGGGTGTCGTCCCGAGGGTAACGCAGAGGGAAGCTGCATTTGGTGGGCGCTTCCTCACAGCGAGGAGGGCTCCCTGCTGCCGGCACCCCGGCGCTGCTGGCTCCTGCGGCAGCACTGGCTCCTGAGCCACATACTGGTGCCACTGGGTTGTCAGGGACTGTTACTGCGCCTGAACCGACCTCGCCCTGACTCCCCTGTCACAATTAACATTTCCGGGCGATACTCGCCGTCCTCTCTAAACTCCAAACCGAGCCTGTTTGCCTGTTCCCCTCCGGCAGCACCACGGCAGCTCGGCCATAGATCCGTTTTGGGAACAGGCCGTAGGGCAGAGGCGAGGCTGGCACCTTCCGCTGCGCCCATCTCCTTGTTTAACCCTTGCCGGAGGTGTCAGGTTGCGGTGTTGGGGCCCGTGAGGGTTTATGGAGCACCGAGTTGGGTGGATCACCTCCTGTACCCTTCCCTGCACGTTTCCTCTGCCTTCTCCCTCCAGCTCTAGCCCTTTGCCACCAAAGATGGCCGGGCTGCTGCCTCCAGCTCCCTCCATCGGCTCCCAGCCTGCTCTGTGGGTGCTGGGTGCCACGGACCAGACCTCCTGGGTTTCACTGGCAGGGTGTTTCTGGTGAGAACCAGCTCAAAACGCCTTTCCTCTGTTCCTGCAGATGGTGACCCTCTTCCAGATGTGGGTAGTGCCTCTGTATTTCACCATCAAGCTGAACTGGTGGCGGTTCCTGGTCATCTGGGTGCTTTTCTCAGCCGTCACAGCTTTTGTCACCTTCAGGGCAACTCGCAAACCTCTGGTACAGACAACGCCCAGGTTGGTGTTCCTGGGAAAACTCCTCATCCCGGGGTGACCATCACAAGGAGCTCTTTCCAGTTTCACTGCCACGGATCGCCGTCTTAAACTTTGCACGCCCAGGGAGGGCAACCCCTGCCCATGTGGGTCGGTCGCTGCTGGCAGCCAGCCCGATGCACGTGGCACCCACGTGGGTGGTGGAAAGGCGGGTACCGCGTGAGCTGGTAGCCTTACCTGGGTGTTCCCAGTGTGAAGCACGCTCGCTCCCGGCCTTCGGAGACCCCGAGGTTTCTGGTTTGGAAGTCAGACCGTGAGCGGCTCGTGGCAGCAGCGGATCAGTAGCCTGGATTGGAACTGGAAAGCTCTGTCGCCCGTGGGTGTGGGTGGGGGAAGTGTCTGCCAACGCCACCGTCCAGGTGTCAAACTCTTCCCGTGCTTGATGCAGTTTCATTCCGGAAAAATGAAGTCGTTGAATCCTTGTTTTAATTCTTTCCAGGCTGGTGTATAAATGGTTTCTACTAATATACAAGATCAGCTACGCCACCGGAATCGTAGGGTACATGGCTGTGATGTTCACGCTTTTTGGTCTGAACTTGCTGTTCAGGTGAGTGAATCTTCTGGGTCCCACTCCCGGGGCGAGGGGCACGTAACACACTGTGTGGGATAAGATGTGGCCTAGGAGTAGCGAGGCTACAGGAAAGCTGGAGAGGGGCTTTGGACACAGGTGTGGAGTGACAGGACACGGGGCAATGGCTTTAAACTGAAAGAGGGGAGATTTCG